AACTTATGTCATAGTTAGTTATTAGTTTTGTAAAAAATCATACGAACAGTTTTTGAAACATAAGCTCTCAAAGTTTTAGCTCCTCAATGTTAATTAAATTTGGTATATATTCATTAATATCTCTCTCTCTTTCTTTCTTTCTTTCTTTCTTTTTTTTTTTTTGTGAAACTTATTTGCTTTCTTCTTTCAAAATTTCGAAATTTAGGTTCAGTCCAAATAAAATTCACTGATATTTTCTGATTTATTTTTTTATTTTTTAAGTTTTTTTCTTTTTTTTTCCGAAAATCATTTTGAACTGTAACCTTATGAAGTTATTCCATCACCTTAAAGTAGATGCATTTCTAAGCATACCTGCAAAAAACTAGAGTTTTTTTATTCCGAATTTCCGACGACATACGTGAATTTATATATTGGCGCGTTTGTAAATTTGGCATATTTGTTATAAACTGTAATAACGCCAAATATGATTTACGCACTTTCTTGAAATAATTTGAAAAAATGAACGAAGCACTTTTTTTTCTCGCTCATGGAGACTGAAAGGGCAAAGAAAATTGGTTACTCGAAATTAAGAATTTCGCGAAGTGAATTATTGTTGGCGTAAACTAAAAAAAGCATATCAAGATAAATTTTTAAATTTGTCGGTAAGTTCATCACCAAATTTTACAAAATGTAATATTTAGGTCTGATTTGAGTCATAGAATCGGAATATGAAAAATAATCGGCATGTCATTTCAGAAAAAGTTCGATTTTGTGTCAAAATACCTACGTTAGAACAATACTACATAAAACCTTTTTTTGATTTCAATGACTTTTAGTTCATTCAATATATATATACACACACATATATTATAAGTCCCACTTTCGAGGTAAGAAAAATGTAAAATAATATTCGTGATTGGGCCCTGTAGAACAAATGATATAGAACCTCTCCTTTTTTCCCCTTGGTGTGTATGTGTGTGTGTAGAGTGTACAGTGCAAGTATGGCAAAAATTATTTAATGTTTTTCAGTAGTTAAAAGCCTGTTCTACTTAAAATATGTACGAAAATAAATTTAGAACTTCGTATATTTCAAATATATCATGTTGCTGTGTTGATGGTAATGTAAATTGCAATAAAGTGATAAAACTTACAATAAATCTGATTACATTGCCATTTTTCAAGATTTTTAAACATTCAAATTAAAATTATTGTAGACTTGTTCTGTAATTTTTGAATATTACGAGAACTTACTATTGCTTTTAATTAGACTCTTTTTAACTGTTAGCCATTTTAGAAACAATTACGACTTTTTTATTCTAAACGAACAGTGGTGAGTAACATGCAGTTTTCACGTCCTTTTTAATGACTTACTGCCTCTTTTTCGTTGTGTAAGTAGTATTTGTATCAGAATAATGTGTAATTATGTATCAAATTAACATCTAATGTAGCATGTATATGTAATTGAGCAGCATATTAATGCTCCATATTAATGTAATCATATTAATGCAAGCAGTCTTTCATATGCAAGCAGTAATCCTTGTGTAAGCAGTAATTTATGTGTAAGCAGTAATTCAGGTGCAAGCAGTAACTTATGTGTATGCGATAATTTACGAATAAGCAGGAGAATTTATATGTTATCAGTAGGCAGTAATATATATCAGTAAGTAGTAATTTATGTATTATGTAAAGTAGCAAGTCTTATGCTCAGGTTTAGGGTAATGTTATGTATCAAATATCGTATATCATGTAAGTTTTATGTTTATGTAATTCACAGTAACTCATGTAAACCCAACTGTAAACCATGTCACTCTGAGAAGAAATAGTCCCTGTACGGCCATGTACCCTTTGTGAAGTATCAATAACTCCCGGTGCCCCCTTAGGGGCCCAGGGAGTTGTTGCGTCTGGATAGGGAAGGGCGTGGGACATATGCCTGTTTACCTCTGTTAGACGCCAGGCGTCCCCGTCCTCCGTCACCTGTCACCTGCCTCTTTTTCGTACATAACATATATTTTTTATTATAAATGTTATAAGAGAAGAAATCATTTATAAGACATATTAATAACAAAATAGGCTGGATTTTTATTTTATTTTTTTCAGAAGATTATGTGTTACACATAAGCTATTGCACATAAGCTATTATTTAATCAGTAAAACTTTAATAGAGCTGACTTATGTACAGAATTATTTTTTACATGTTATTTTGCTATACAAATAATTTAATATTCTTTATCGTATTCAGATGTGAGTAATTTTTGTTTTTGTGATTTTAGGGGTCACCCACCGATTCTCAGCCCTGCAGAGTAAGCTCAATTTTTTTCTTTAATTTAATTTTTTGCCTGATATGTTTCATATATTTCAAAACACGTCAGCCGTATTATAAAAGCAGCGTATTATAAGCCCGTTTGTTTTCAATGTCTAGGCAGCAGAGGATTTACGAATGGCAAGAAATGAACGCTCCTCTAGCAGACGCTGCTTCATTCAGGAGTTATCCGACTTTACGATGACTGTGGACCTGACTTCGAAAAACTCGGTTATAAGCGGGTAAATTCTTAAGGAAATGGACTGATACCAGAAGCTATTTATTGTAATATCACCATAACATCTTCATTCAATATTAATGTACAGATATTTGATGTTGTATATTTTTTTAATTTATAAATTTTTACATATGCATGGTGTCTTTTTCATTTCTTCAAGAACTAATATGTTAGCATTCACATGTGCATGCTCACAAACAAAAATGTGTATTAAATTTATTTTACACTGACTTTGTGTATGCCGGCATGTCAAATTAATTAAGCAAGTCTCCATCCCTTGACTGCCTACAGCATGCTTGTCATCATTCGAATTGTAATTTCGGGAAATAAAATTTAAAAAAAAAATCTGAAAGGTTTCAGACTTTAAAGTACGTCCAAACGTTTTTTTTAAAACGTACGTTTTTTAACGTTTTGTGTGTTATCTTTATTTATTAAATATCATGTTCTTTGCACTTATAGCATAAATTTCAGCTCAATAGCAATGTCGCAAAATAATTTTAAAATGAGCATATCTTTAGAATTTCCAATACACAGTCCTGTTGATAATTTTTTTTTTTTTTTTTTTTTGACCCGTAGAGTGTTGCTATTGCTCGCTTTGAAATCCTTGAGTTTGTTAATAAAAAATTCGTTAAAGTTTTACAAAATGTGAAATCGATAATACAACATATTCTAAATTTCAAATTTGGTCTCCACATGCCCAAATTCATAGGAGGACAAAGCCCTTTTGGATTTAAAAAAAAAAAAAAAAAAAAAAAAAAAAAAAAAATTGAAAGTCTTCAGATTTTATATTACGCCCAATGGGACGTTTCCCCCCATTTACACACACCTACATGTTTCGAGAGCATTTGGATAAAAAATATTTAAAACCATAACTTTAAAATTTCCGATAGACAGTCTCGCTCGCTGGCAATAAAAATGTTTTATTCCTTATAGTGTTGCCACTGCCCGCTCTGAATTCGTTGAGTTTACTAATCAAAAAATGCTCTAAAATTTTATAAAATATGAAATAGATAAAAAAAAATTCAAAATTCGTGGTTCCAGGTTCCCATATTTGGGTGGAGGACCACGTTACTCAAAATCTGACGGTTCTAGATAGCGTTCTTTTTTCACAATGCAGAAAACATACATACATTCATGCAGATTCTTCATTATTTAATCTCTTTAAAGATAATACAGGGCGATAATATTGGGTGACAATAATTTGAAAAGGGATTCAATGCCTTGATGTTTCGATTCAACGACTTAATTCCGTTTCGACGCTAATAGTCCTTCTGAGATAACGCCCCTTTGGGCTAAAAATCTCAAAAAATCTCTTTTAAAGTTTAATTTGGTATATCAATAGAGATGCCCAGAGGGAACATGCGAAACATTTTATAGGATACTAGATATATACATTTTAGCCTAGCATGGAAACATTTTATATCTTCTGTACATTTGAAAAATGAAAAATTATGTAAAGCGTTTCATTAAAAATGTTGAAGGTTTTAAATTACACATAACACAAATTCGAGAAAGAAGTATATAATAATAATAAAGTTTTTAAGAACTCCATTTATTGCTTTCAAATAACTTAGTTTGTTTTTCAGTAACAGATCAATTCAATTTTATAGATAAATATCTTATATTTTGCAGAATACTAACAGACTCGCATGAAAAGTGAAACAACGGATTTACACTGGACGACATTTAAATTAAATCAAAAACGTATTTTAGCCGTTTGGGCTAATAATTATAAATAATGTTTGAACCACTGCATTGTAGTCGATGATGAAGTAATTTGTACTTCATAACCGTGCAGTCACAGAGAGGAATCAAAATTTTAGTGACGAACATACTGGTTATACTGTAACATATTACTAGAGTTTGAAACATACCTTATGTGTACGGAATGTCCGAATTCCCATTTAAAACTTTCAGGATACGGATAAAACCTAGATTTGAACAGTGTCAACACCTTCTAGAGAAGAAAGTATATAGGATTCATATAAGATTTCGTTTGATATATTACGACAAAGCACACTAAGACTATTAGCTTAAGGGGAGGGCTGCCTTCGTGAAGGACTTTTTAAAGAAAAATGGCTCTTATGCATGTTACTAATTAGGAAAACCACTAGATTCACAGAGGAAAGAAGAACCGTAGAGACGGCGCTGCACATCAGAGGTCAAGGTCAGTTGACCATCAGAGGACTGGCACCAGATTCAGTCAATTAATTTATCAAAGTGATATTTTTATGATTAAAATTAGTCATTTTTGATGGAAAAGAAATACTTTTTTTCAAGATATTAATATTGCTATGTGCTTAACATCTGAAATTTCATAAGATTGAAGTATTTTGTAGTTTATATCATTTGTAGTACGCGATATATTTTGTAGTATGTGATTAGTGAAAATTAGTAAATGCAACACACATTAAATGCAAGTCAAAATGTACATTTTCCTCAGATTCTTCAAACGACTTTTTACTGAAAAGAAAAAGGTGGAAAGAAATGATTCAAAAACTTTATTTAAAACAATTTTTGTTTAGACTATGTATGCAGAAGATATTTCACCAAATAAACTTAATCATAAAAGAAGGGAAAATATAGTCAAGAAACTGCAATTAAATCATGTCAATTTAAGTATTACCAACACTACGAGAACATAAAAAGAACGGTCTATAAAACCGTCAATAATGGCTTGATCATTTGCATAGGCGACAGTTTCTTTGCATATTTACATTTTTTTCTTCCTATGTAGAGTTGCTAGAATACTAAAGTATTCATTACTGATGCCAAACATTTCTTTTAAATGTCTTAGTATTTATCGGGAAGGCCTTTAGGTCTGAATTTATTAGGGTCACCGCCTTCTCTGCCCCAACGATTCGCCGCTTGGTCAGCTTTGGAGTCTGCGGTATTCGGGCCTTGAAGAGATTCACGTGCGTTACTGAAATGGAAACGAAACAGAATTAATACTGAAATTTATTGCTTAGAATTCTGTATTTGCAGAAAACTGATGCAGCAATTCTTTTGAAACTCCCATATACATAGGCGTTATAATGAATCCTTATACTGTTATTTTTAGTTTTAACTGAGGTGATTTACAAAGAGACAATACACCCCCCCAAAAAAAAAATGTATACACACTTTAACAGATGATATTTGTGAACTTTTCAGACAATGGATGGAATCTAGCAATGTATGATTTCCTCTTACTAGATGAAGTTACTAAGCGTGGTTATAAAATGCATTCGTGACATATGACCATGAATCAAGTGATCGTTTCAGGAACGTAAAAACATTTTTATGGTGTTTTCAAGTGGAAGAACGTTTCGGAAGAAGCGCAACTTAAATGAAAGTGTGATTTTACAATACAACACGATCAACAATTACATATCTGTACATCTATTACAACATGGTCAACAGTTACACAGCTGTGCGATGAATTTGAGTTATGCAGGTATCGTTAGTGATGTGTGTTGTAATCATGATACTGAATTGTGTAACAGCGAATTGCAGAACAGTAAGTCTATTGAGGTTTCTCAGATCTGATGCGATAAGTTATTCTTTTCTATTACGACATGCTCATCAAAACTATTACGTCTTTGCAAAATTCAAAGTTCTCCACCTGTCCCTTAGGGGAAAAAAAAACCTTATAAATTATCCATTTCCAGTCAGAATAGATCATCAATATAGTCTTTACACCAGATTTCTGAAATCGAACTTCTTGTGCCTTCTCCAATTCGAGCAAGTTTTTGTCATTGAATCATAACCAAAGCATCAAGTATTATTTCCAGTCATAATTTACTTGAGATATTTTGTCGTTTTCCACGCTTTACAGCAAAACTTCATTGCTGTACTTTGTTTAGCTGTCCAATTAATGCCAACTGATGCTCATTGGAACAAAACAAATGACCGACTGCGTAGAAAATTCTTCCGATAAGCTGACGAAATTTCAGGTAAAGGAAGTTGAGATGTCACAGTAATACATACTATCAATCTGCCTAACGGAAATCGAAAACTAGTATCTGTTAAAAACGGTTAGATTAAAAATTTGCAGGCGCAATATGCATATGTGTTAAATGTCAGTTTAGTTTTATCATTTAACATGCTTTCTATGTAAATCTCACGTTTTTTAATTAATAAGAAATGTATATCTTTACCTGATGACTTCTGCTGCCCACTTTCCACCAGGTCCTCTTTGAGCGGCATCGTAATTGCCCCTTGCATGGAAATACTTGTCTGCTCCTATGTAGTTGGCGTCCCTCATGTCTTTATACGCCTTCCACATATCTCCAGCTCCTTGAAATGCTTGCTTGGCGAAGGTGAGCCCTGGTAGTCCCTGACAGTCTCCTGAAGACAGCATCATCAGGCACACAAATGCGCAAAACAAAGGAGCGAGTGAAGTCATCCTACAAAACGGATAGATAGATGTTTAAAATTTGTAAAACATTGTTAAAATAATAGTTATACACTTACAAAATTTGTAAATACTAAAGCATATTTTTTTATGCTTTATAACGTCTCATATTCGTAGCGAGCATAAACTAACTAGACGTTAATAGACTGGATAAGGAATTATCCCTAACGACAAAGTCCAGAAAAAGAGTGTAAAGAACCCCTTATTAACTCAATATTATTTATTTACAGATGGCATCGAGTCGTGCTTACAGAAGACAGCCAACACTTTTTGCTTAACTCAAAAGGTAACTACTAACTAAAAAAAAAAAAAAGTAGAATTAAGATAGCTTAACTGCTTTCTTAGGTTACTTGACGTACAGGCAGGCTCTGATTCGTAAAAGTGGGCGCTAACGAGCCAAATTACTAAAAGGGCTCAGCGCCACAGAAATGTAATCACTGGTAAATCAAAAATAACAACGTGGCCTTCAGGCAGGCAGAACACACTCTAAATTCACCTCCCCAAGCATTCCTTTAAATACTAACTTCTTTCTACCTCATTTGAATACCCGCGAGCTAACTCATTTACGTTATGGCAAGAAAGTGTGGGTTAAAAGGAAGAGTTTTAGGAAATGTTGCTTCAAAATACTGTTAAGTAAATTAATTAAATCCCCACAACTTAATTGTTACTTTTATTTTCGATAGGAATTATATTGCATATCCAGAGAGGTCATAAAGTGGTAAACAGCAAGTGAGCTAAAGCATGTACCTATTTGTAATTACATTAATTGTTTTTTTGTAATTACCGTACTTCCCTTCGTATTTTCCCCCCGCAGCTTTTTAGCGCACGATTCCGAAAGTTTTAAAAATATTCCAATAATTTTCCCTTTCCTCTACTATACATCGTTTTCTCCCTGAAGGCTAGTTTATTGGAAAATTCTATTTATTCCCTTGATCATTTATATTTTTATTTTTATGTGTTGAATTTGTATTTTCATTTTTATACTAGCGTTTCATCCATTTTATTTTCCCTTGCGTTTATTATTCGAAACGTATTTTGCGCAGATTCTTTGTAAAGCTACCCGGACGCATACAAGCATTCTGTACCGCGCCATGGGCATAGGGAAAAATCCGTACTTGTCATTGGACGAGCATTTCGATATCATCATTTCCTCTTGGCGTAAAGATGTTTATAGACGGGATTTTTACGGGTCTTTTATCCGATGAATGACGCGCATGTGTGACACGGAAGCGGGAAAATTAATGTTTGTTTTCTTTGAAACGAAAGGGCCCACCAGCGGCCGAGCGGTAAAGTCGCTGAACACTGGTAGTTCGGTCCGAGGTTCGAATCCCGCGAACGGGCTGGCTGCATGGGCGTTTTCGTGGTTTTCCCCATGTGTAACGTGTATACGAGCCAGTTTCCCTTAGAAAGTCCTCCACGAAGGCATCCTTCCCCTTAGGCAGATAGCCCTCGAGGCTTTGCCATAATCACACACACACACACACTTTGAAACGAAAACATTTAGCTGCAGGGTTCTGCACATGACTTCCTGTTTCATGGAATTATAAAATTATAAAATATTTGAAAGATGCTGTAAATATCAGAAGCAATCTTAAGTGCTTAGATTAAGCAAATGTCTGAGTTCATGAATTTTGTGCAAAAACCAAAGCACGACGATCTCGATCCAACTATAAAGGCATTGTGTGCTAGTAAACGTATTATTGTAATTGCAGTTTTGTTGCTTTCACATCGCAGAAAATATTTCCTTTGCAAATGTTATGTTATTTTCATGTTAACGTCTGTGTCATATCTAATATTCTGTTGCCTTAAATGAAAGAACAAAGTGCATTCAGTATTGTCGCTGAATTTAATACACGTGTGTATAAGAAAACAAACTTCCTTCTCTGACAAACGCTATTTTCTGCAAAGGTACAAAATATGTTACACTTTAAAAAAAGGGCAATATTCATAGACTAATATTATTCAATTTAAAATACGTATATGTATTTCTCTGTTCCAAATCTATATTAGTCTAACTTCAAAAATAAATTTTACTTTTTCAGACTGATTATAAATATTGTCAATTTACTGTGTACTATATTAGCTCCCAACGTCGTTTTTGCTATTTCCGAAAATTGCCTCTTCTCATGCTTTCGGATATTGCATCTGCATAGAATGGATATATATAATAAACATAAAATAATGAATTAATAATCATAATACTTTTAATATGAAGGGTTTTAAATTAAGATTAAATTTATTAAAAATCTCTCCACTTTATGTTAAAACACATGTGCGGAGTTAGCACAAGAAGAAGTAATACTTTTTTTCTCAGAGGGGGGGGACTACATTTTTTATGTTAAATTCACCAAACTGTAGAACTTTATAAGAAGTGTAATCTAAAAGCAACAAAAATACAACGCACATAATAATCTTTTCGGTACTGCTAACAAAATGTAAACAAACGGTATGCAGGTACACCCTAGAGTCCAAGCAAAGTTAAGGCGTTCCTGAGCGTTGAGAAAATGACGTTATCGGGAGAGCTATATCCAATCACAAGGAGGGATTTTCCTCTATGTGCGTGGTGCGGTACAGAATGCTTATATGCTACCCGGACCTGCCTCCCTGCCACTTAACTCACACTTAAGAGAACTTATCTTCTGTTATTTACGTTTCAGCTCATTTTAGCATTATCTACTGCTGATGTGTTCGATCTTTCGAAATGGGGTTCTTTTATTCACCCCTTCTCCTTCGAACGAAGTTCTTCTTGGGAACTGCGGTTAAGACTCATTTTAATGTGAGATGTCGCTGGAGCTTTCTAAGATCACTGAGACGGACACTGTGCGCTGTGTGCGATATTTGTGGCTTTAACATCATCGATTCGATTCGACTCTTTATTTAACATTAAAAAATCCTAATCAGAAGAAGTTTCTTTTGATGTACGTGTATTATGAGCGCTGTGTACGACGGATTTTAAGAAACATAGGGGATGAAAATATTTAGGGAGCCAATAGGGAATGAAATAATAAGCTACATAACAAAATTTTAATTAAACTTTTAAAATACGTTGAAGATAGTGGTATCAAACCTGCCAACTGACAGGCTGGTGTATATCTTACTTCAGTACTTTAGAAAACAAAAGTGATAAACTGAAGAAGAACAATTAATGGCGGAGAGCACATTTTTTAATTAAGAAAACAAACGCAAAACTCTTCGTGCTCCACGAAGTATTCCACAAGGATTACACATGTAAGTAAATAACTCATTATACAAGAGGATACAATTCAACAATAAAAAACATAATATCTAGGCCTGCAGAAAGCAAAGTAAAAACATAGAATACAAATACTGTTATAATAAAAATACTAAAATATACCATCAATAATTATAATAATTATAGTATGTTAATACTCTTATAAAACAAAATAAAACAACTTAATAGTAATACAATAATAATAAAAATGAAATAATAGTTAATATTGATATAAAGGAAAAAATGATACATGAACAATACAACACACAGCGTAATCATACATAGATAATACAATGACGCATAAAAGATTAAAATCCAATCGTTTAAATAATAATACTAAAAGTTCAAACAACAAGTAAAGTCGCGCAAGACTTCAAAGGCTTCAGAACTCCTAACAAGATCATAGAAAACAGGAAACCAGCAAACAGACAGCTGCGCTAAACTCACTTCTGGCAGTACTTCTGGCACTCGCATACAATCTACAATGCAATAAAATATGATCCACATCTTCCACAGTATCGACGCAAGCACAAAGTCTACTAGTCGCAATGCTGAAACAAAGTACGTAAATTTCAAAATTCCCATGACTGGTCAAAATCTGTGTAAGTTTATAATCCGACTGAAAATGTCGTTAAAAATCACTTGGGTAAAGACTCTTTGCCCATTGGGCCTTCGAAGAAGCAAGGTATTCAGCGTTCCAATCAATCATAGTTTTCTTTCAAACCATAAGCTTCCAATACGTCTTGGGAGCAATTAATATCACGATAAGTCGCCTGGTTAGCCAAACGTTAACTTTCCAGAAATTAGTACTGAAGTGCTGAATTACGTGACAAAGCGAAGAAACAGTGGTATAGCTGTGCAATTCGCAGTTTGCTTTAACAAAGGCGATAAGTTGAGAGCTTGCAACTTGTAATTAGTAAGCAACTTTCATTCTGATGCATATGCGTAATCGATAGCAATAAAAGTGGGTACAGTTTTCGACAGCTCATTTTCTGAACGGGGGGGGGGAGAAGTCGTCTTAAATTTATGTGAACTCTTTACTAGATCTTAATCTTTGAGTTGCCCTACTAGTTTTTTTTTTTTTTTTTTTTTTTTTTTTTTTTTCAATGCAGTAATTTCAACGCGCAGCATTTTTCTCACCGTAAGTTAAAATTGTAAAACGTTTTTGATGTCATGTTTAATTAAAGGAAAAATTAATTCTATCTATAAAACAATAATCCACTTTCCTCTATAGAAAATAATGTTGCTCATGTGTTTACGACGACAAGATTTTATAACAAGTATTTACATTTATAATAGACGCAAATGTTAAAAATTTTGTATTCGTAATCAATTAATTAAAGCTGTATAAGGGTTTAAAATATTAATATTTTAAATTAACTTGCAGGCCCAACTGTTCGGATCGTTTAGGACGTCAGAATTTCTGAAGCTAGTAGTCTGTGTGCTTCTTTCAATTTTCTTATGCATGTAATATCTGTTTACCACCTGCAGTGCACTTTGGGCAATGTTTCTTCGGTTGCTTTCGCCATTCCCAACTAGCTGCTTTCGGACAACTTCCACTGGAGAGAAGGGGAGATGTAGGAACAACTTAAATAATCCTAGAATAATTGTCGTTTATTCAAGAAATCATTCATCTATGTGTATTTGGTATTTATGAATGGTACAGATACCGATGCTTTGTAAATCACCGATTTCAGAAATTATGCTAGAGCTGCTTAAAATGCGTGTATGCGCCTGATAGAAAATAATTCAAATTATCTTTAGAAAAATTTTAAATTTATATTTAAAAAAATCGAAATCAAGGACGATAATGAAGAATAAACTAATAAGTGAATATATAACTCATATTTAAGACAATGGACTTTGGAATACTTTAAGAATATCTTCAAGACTTCGGAATACTTTAAGAATATCTTCAAGCCTCTGGAATACTTTAAAAATATGTTCAAGACTTTGAGAATACTTTGAGAAATTCAGAATGCGAATTCTTTTAAAAACATGCGGTTATCAACCATCAAAAGTTTAATTTTATACAAAAATATAAATAATTTTACAGCTGGAAATTTTGAAAAATATTTTAGAAAAATAATTTTTTGAAGTATACATACGTGATGTGATTATGATTTACATATACATGCATATAATAAGATAATTATTATGGAAGACTGCAGCTTAATTGATTTAAAACGACAAATATTTTACATACAAAATAAAATGTAATAAAATTCATTTGATACACTATAAAAGCATTTCATGAATGTATTACGTTAGTAATAATTTTAATATGGTAATAATCAGGAAACTTACTTCTTAATGAATGTTTAGTTTTCTAAATATTCAGAGAGAGATAAAGAGACTAGATTGAAAAGTTGCTTTTTAAAATATGCTTTTATATGCGCGCAAAAGGAGGAAATCTCCAGCTCAGAGCAACCCTGCTGTTTTCCGTTCTTTTTCGTGGAATCGACGGGTTTGCAACCTAGTCATTCTTCGTTTTTTAGAATTACAGAATTCTTCTAGCTTTCACTGCAATATTTGTTTGACAATGAACCGAGACTTTGTCTTCTTATTATTACTACTATTATGTTTCTGTATTGTTTGGAAGCATGGGAAATTGGGGATAATCTTCTTTCACAGTATTTCCCTGTCTAAATGCAAGATATAAATTTATTTGATTTGCTCTTCGCGAAATTGCGATTTTCTTTCTTATATTTTATATAGCAACTTATAAAATGGCATCTCTTATTAGACAATAATATATGTAAATGTATAATTTAATGCTGGCAAAAGATATTTCAAAAATTAATCTGCAGTTAACATTTAAAATGCAATTCGAATGAAGCAGACACATGGTAAAATTCGGAAGGGAAAATATTACTGCATAAACTAATTTGAAATATTCAGTAAATTGTTTGCGTTCACTATTATCTCTCTCTCATAAATAATGAAGAATCCCTCTGTAGGAATGTTACGCATTGTGGAAAAACGGCGGCACCGTTAGCCGCCAGATGTTGAACACACATATAGTCCTCTTTTGGTACATGTGCACATCAAAGTCCGAATTTTAAATTTCGAATTCATTTTTTTATTTATTTCAAATTTTGTGCAAATTCAATGAATTTTTGATAATTAGATATTAATTTTTAGTAGTGCCTGGAAGTATCAAATGTTAAGAACCCAAACTTAACAATTAAGAACCCAAACTGACATACTAATGTTTGTGAAAAATATAATACCGTGAAGGAATTGTCGGAAATGAATGAAATTTATTCCACATATTACAGATAGTGGTACAAATGAATGATCAGATTTACAAGACAAAAAACAAAACAAGCACCTGAAATCAATGCTTTGTGTGTCCGCCTCGTTGAGCAATAAGAGCCTGAACACGTCGTGGCATTGAATCATACAGGTTCTAAATGTAATGCCATATGGAATGTTAACGTCATTCCATATGGCTTCCAGAATTCAGTCTTAGTATGTGCCCCACACCAGCTGTACGAGTAAGTCGCCAAACGATGAAATTCCAGACATTATTAATGGACCATATATCCGGGGAATAAGCAGGCCATGAAAAAAGCAAAGCTTGTTGTGTTCTAAAGAAGACTGTGCAGAAGCATGTTCACGGGCATTATCCTGCTGAAATACAGCCCTCAGAATCCAATGAGGAGGACCTCTAGCTTCACAACTTCCCGTATGTAACGATCACTGTTGAGATTTTCCGCAGTCTGCGCTAGATGGTATCGACAGTTATACCCAATAGCTTCCTCCACAATGATTCCAGGCTTTTGTGCGGTATGATGTTGAATAACACACTGTGGGAGCAGACGTTCCCGTCTATAATGTCTGATGCGCACTCTTCCATCATTTTACTTCATATTGTAAAGAGATTCGTCAGAGAAAACAACTTGTGGCCGAAGGCACGACACGCGGCGTGTTGCCGTGCGCAATAAAGTCGGAAGCGTTAGTGATTCAGTGACAGGGGAAATCCTGCGTAGAGGAGCCCTTGCACGCAGTTCATGCTGCAGGAGACAGTGAGAAACCGTGGATCTAGACAATGAAACACCTGTAGCCGTGCTCCGACGTTGTGCTAAACCACGAGAGGACGCTGTACGATCTTTCACTGCCATGCGCATGAGGTGTGTCGTTCTGTGCCGTTGTCCTATTCCGTACCCTACTGCCAGGATAACGCCTTGTTTGGTTCTTCTCTGTCGTTTTCTTTCAAACACGCATCAGTGTTGTGGTATTACGCTGCATGCCGGCTGCGATTGAAGTCCACCCTCTCTCATACCAACTAAGCAGCCTCGTTCGAGATCCGTTAGTTGTGGGTATGGCACCCTCCGCCGTTGACGAGGCATATTGACTACGAATTAAACGCTCCCTGTAGACAGAGGATGATAAATAGACTTCAACGCAACTTTATAGTCTTTTATATACATGGAACAAGTGGCCGGTTCTCATCCCACACTTGCGCAATCGCTTTGTAATTCTAATCATCTCCATATCTTACCTCACTTTATATTTCCCGTAATTTTGGTTCAATCTGTATAATTCCTTCATGTGTTGCAATTTTCACAGACATTAGTGTAATACTTGATACTTCCTTCGTGGAGTAGTGCCAATAAAGCAGAAGTTTTAACATATGAATTAATGTTTATTCTAAATCATATTCTTAGCAATAGGTATTCATTATAGAATTAGTAACAAAGATGCAATGGCAACCACAAATTACATGGAAAGTTCTCACAATTTCGTTATTTCAGAAAAGGATACAGAAAAGAAATGCCTATCTGAAGGCAGAGCTGGAAGTCATTAATTTTGCAGTGTGTTACAGGGAGAACCAAATACGATTCAGGAAGGATGAAATATGTTTAACTATTACTCTACCGAATCACTCTGCACAGTCAAAAGCATGTTATTCGCCTGCCTCTACATGAAGATGGACAAAGTAGAGCATCAGAACATGCTTCTAGCAAAGATTGGAATTAAGAGAAGCAAAGCTTCAACAACATAGCAAAGCTGCGGGGAAAAATTGAGTTGATAATGTGTTAGGCGTCAATAAACTTTACAGGAGTAAGGGCAGGCCTCGAAATTTATGTACGCATGTGCTCCTTTTGAAGTGCTATATTGAACGATTTTAAAACATGTGTGTATTTAATTATGGCAAAGCGCACTAGGGCTATCTGCCTAAGGGGGAGGGATGCCTTCGTGGAGGACTCTCTAAGGGAGAACTGGCTAGTATACACGTTACACGTGGGGAAAACCACGAAAACACCCATGCAGCCATCCCGTTCGCGGGATTCGAACCTCGGACAGAACTACCAAGTGTTCAGCGACTTTACCGCTCGGCCGCTGGTGGGCTGATTTTAAAACATGAATTACTTTCGTAAAACTTCTTATTCTTATTTGTTTCATGTTAGAATTATCTTAAAGTTGCCAGAGTCACATTTAAAATCCATTTCATGACATGTGAAGGTAATAAAAAATCACATGTAATGAACGATTGGAAGGAAATTTTCCTTGGGATATTTTATTTTAAAATTGTAATCTAGACTACTAAAGAAATCAGAAATATTTGAAAGTATCTCAGTATCAAAATTTCTTTAAAAATGCAGATTCACTACCATACTTCTGCAACAGACTTCATGAAGCCCATCAATTTTTAACTTAATAATAATGCTAGTCATAAAATGGAAATCCCAGAAATCTTTCTCCTTTTTTCTTAATTTCTAGAATTACAAGTGCGTGAGCCCTATGGAAGACGGTCAGGAAAGAAGAACAAAAATATATCAATAAATATTACGCTCAAAGGGGCGTGTTTTAACGTTTTGTATGCTACCTTTATTTATTAAACATGTTCTTCGCATTTAAACCATAAAATTCAAATCAACAGCAATGTCGCAAGATAATTTTTAAATGAGCATACCTTTAGAATTTCCGATACACAGTCTCGCGCGCTAGAGATAATTCTTTTCCCGTACTATGTTGCCATTCCTCGCTTTGAAATCGTTGAGTTTGTTAATCAAAAATTCGTTAGTTTTACAAAATATGAAATAGATAATAAAAAAAATTACAAATTTGGGTTCCAGATGCCCATATTCGGGTGCGTACGTCATTCAAATTTGGATGGCTCTAGATACCGTTGTTTTATCACAGTGCGAGAAATGTACATACATTTATGCAGATTCTGGTCCGTAATACTTGGTGGCACCAGTTTGAAAAGTGAATCAACGAAGAAAATGAATCGACGCAAAATGTCAAAACGAAACTAATAGCCCTTCTGGCTAACGCTCTTTGAGCTAATAAAATGACAAGTAAAATAATTAGCAATTAAACAATTAAATAATTAGTTATTAAAATTAAATAATTCATGATTATAAAATTAAACAATTAATATTAAGATGTAATATAATGTAAAGAGATAAATAAATTATAAATAATTAAATAATAAAATAAAGTACTGAAACTTGACTTATTTGGGATTTTGGGTGGAATTAGAATTTCACACAAAAAATAAGAAATAGTTTAACCGATCTCCTGTTTAATTTAAATTTTGAATATATTGCATTACTTCAAGGGGTGATACATATAAAGACAGCACACTTTTTCCAGCACACCAATGAAAAATGTTAAAATGATTAAAGCGTCACTAATGAAAATACAGGAGAATGCTATAACCAGGAAGTGAATATAGAGAAAATTTTAACGGATGACCTGCAGTTATGAAAACAACGAGAGACAAATCCAACATTTTCTGATCACGATCTTCTCTTTGTATAATTATAGCTACCAAGCAGAATATGGCAGGGAAACAAACCGAATCCGAGAGTCAGCTGAAAAAAGAGTAACAAAGGCAATTATGATTCCCGTCTTTGGTTACATCTTTCGCAGAAATCTGCGGGTGCTCTTTACCGCTGAAAGACACTAGCATTGAACGAAACATTTACCCGCTGTCATAAATTCATTGTACTTTCTGAAGACTAAGCTTTTGACAAGCGGGTTGGGGGTTTCCTTTCTTAAAAGTCTCGACCTCCAGCCAAGGGTTTGTTTCCCAAGGAAAGAGAAGCATGCATTCAGAAGTTAAAAGAAACTTTTTAATACAATTTTATTATTAAAATAAAATTTTTGAGATTAAATTTCTGCTGAAATTGTTGTTCAGTTTCATTAGAAGAATACAGATGCCATCTTATTTAAGGCTTCGGTGCAATCCGGCTATATAATTATAGCTGGATTCAAGATAAATCATAATTGATTTATTTTGAAAACTAAGAAGCGTCTCCTGTGGGCTCCGACACAATATAAGCTTTGCTCCTGATAAGGATAAAGTAACATACTGTAACAGAAACAATTCCAGATTTATTCCTCTCTTAAATATCTATAAAAAATAATAATATTTGTATCTTATATTATCTTCCTAAATCACTTTCTGAAACAGTTAACAACACTAAACTCCCAAGAAAAATTTCATCGAATTCTTTTGAACAATAAGACAGCTCAAAAACATTAAATTATCCTAATTAACATTTCTTATTATTAAAAACTTGCAACAGCAAAGAAGTGCTGAATTTCCAAAAGAGAAAATGCACATTTTATTCCTGTTCTTTGGAGGAATGAATACATTCGAAAGTTCTTGTACATTTCAAAAAATATTTAAGTCTATATCTTAATTTCATCATTATGACCCGATACCCGCCAGCCGAGAGGTAACAAGCCGATTTTGCGCCATTCACTTGAAATTAACCTTGTCAAAAACGCGGTCGGTTTTTCGGAGGATGACCATTGTGAAGACCGATAGGGTGCTTCAGTTTTTTCTATTTTCCTCGCTTTTTACTTCCTTGTAAAGTAAAAAGGAAGTATTGTAATCGCGAAAAGTTTCAGGCAGCATATTTCAACGAAAATATCCATTTTGACCGCTATCGAATACAATTTAACGATGTTTTTGCGTAATATCTGTACGTAAGGACAGAAAGACTCGTTTCCTCAAAAAAAAAAAAAAAAAAAAAAAAAAAAAAAATAATTAAAGAACTGCTTTAAAGTTAATTCTGAAGATAATTTTTCGTGGCGTCTGTACGAACGTATGTACGTACTTGCGTACGTATCTCGCATAACCCAAAAACGAGTAGCCTCAGAACGTTGAAATTTTGTATGTAGGACTGCTATAAGATGTAGATGTGCACCTCCTATTTTGGTTGCAATCGGCCGCACCAAACGTATATAAATATATTTATATGTATATATGCACTCTGTTATCCAGCTCAGTGATCTCAGTTTCTTTACTCTTATATGTTTGTAAATGTACATTTTTTGCTTTAAAAATGATTGAATTATGTTGTTTTCATCTTCCGGTTAAGGTTTTTATGCCTTTAGTAAATCTGTATGCAATATTTTTAGAATTATCAACAATTTTAAAGTTGTTTAAGTGCCGCTAAGCCTTTTTTTATGGCGGCCATTGCTTGTTTACATTTGAAACAGCAGACTAGTGGATTTGTTGCCAATCTAGAGAAATTAGCTTCGCAACAACAAAGATAACGCCTTCATTTATTATTGCCAATTAAATCATGCTTAATCCTTTCTGGAATTTTTTCAAGGAAATAAGTGTTTAAGATTTACTTCGCAATTTTTAATATAGATATTTTGAGTTTTTATGTATTCTTGCCTTCCCGCGAAGTGAGAACTGAATTAATTGAATTGAGAAATACTCACTCGTCTGTGCAAAACTGTTTCTTTTTTGTTTTGTTTGCTTAATTTCTTTTATACATCGTTCTAGATTTATTATGGTGTTTGAATAGAGCACGTGGCAACGATTAGATAATTCTATTCTTTAAATGATATAAATTTGTGCATTATGAGTTATAATATGAACGGAATATAATATTGTTAAGTGAATCTAGCGCCAGGGTGTGTCGCTATGATAAAAAAATACTAGAGTGAATTTTAAAGAATGCATTTATTCTATTGTTGGTTTATGCGCTGTCGGCGAAGTAGATTTAATTCAATCCAATAAGTTTAAATGAAATGCAAGAAAAAATGCGTATAATTTAATATTCCGTACAAGGAAGTCATGTGGTGTACACATCAGATTTTTTTATATTTCAGTAATAATAACTATTGCATTTATAAATTTATTTATGGAAATAAAATAGGGTAGGAATTTATAATTAAAGCATAGTTTAATATATTAAATTAATAAACATTAAAATTATAAAATAATACAATGAACCAACCTTGTAATGCATTCCCACACTAACTATTAAAAAAGAGAGAGAGAGAAAAGAAGAAAAAATATGAGGGGGGGGGGAATGCAAGTTTTATAAGAATTTACATAGACTGAAGCTTTCCAAATGGTCTAGAGTTTGCCTATTATGGTATCTCGTGCAATCCCAACGTACGCTCCGCATCCAGTGTTTATTAAAAATAATTATGTAGGACTAAAGTATCTCTGCTACTGCCTCGCCCTGATGCTAGTCTGTCATTTCACCTGACGTCGCCACTGATGTAGCTGCTACCTACTGCGCCATGATATGCTATTTAATTGCTAAATTTATTTACTGAGTTTACTCATGATATTGATCTCGCCTTCGGGTGCGGTGTATCTAAAAACATACATCTTTAAAATTAAAAAAACTTGTTGCCCTCTGGTATAATGCTAATTTACTGGTTATAGCTCTTAGTAGCTGACGCCAGAGGCAAAGATATGACCCAAGATCCAAGGACGAAGGAAGGATGAAGTAGATTACAAAATATTCTGAATACAATTTGAAATTCACAAATTAAATTGAACATCCCGTCATAGTAAACAAAGGTGGCCCACCTATTAGGTGCCTCCATAATAAAGTGATCATCACTTTCTGGCCTTAGTAATGGCCTAGCCGAAGTTGGCTGAGTCATTTCATTAAAGTCATTTAGAGTTTATTTCTGAGCTAATTGCTACTAATTGTAATAGCTTGTAAGATAACTCTCCCTTTCGTAAAAAATTTTAAAAAATTAGAATTTAGAATGAGTTGAATGAATGCGTTTAAAAAATGATTTCCCGAAGAAAAAAACCGATTTGAATCAGTGCCAAACTATTGTTACGAAATGTAAAGGCGCGGTGAGATGGTTTAACCGCAAAGCAGTTTTAGGGTTGCCATAAAATGGCAAGTGAAGGCAGGGTTGCCACATTTGGCGAGAAATCGTCCATTTTGGCGACAAAATTGGCAATATACCATGGACGGATGGAGAATCTTCTGGAACGAATTGTTACTGGTTTAGCCCAGAATGTTCTCGAACAAGCCGAAAGCTATATAAACCCTGCTGGTCCGCAGTCGGTTAGTGTGCTTGCCTCGTCTAGCGAATTGATAGTCAGTCATTGAGCGAGTGTCTCGAAGTCTAGCGCCGAGTTGGCCGTCGAGTGCATCGAGACAGTCTTTTAGTGCATCGCGAATTAAAGGATCGTCGAGTTTTGTCTTAGACTGTGCTGAGTCGAGAGCTATCTTCTTGTGTATCGTCGAGTGCATCACGTGAAGAGTCTCGAGAGTACGTGGAGTTCCGAGAACGACGAAGCAGAATTTGGAGCTGTACTCCGGAAAGCACAGTCAGGTGCTTTTCAGGAAGCTGTCTCCACCGTTATTGTCTGACAGTGTGAAGGCTGTGTCGCTGATTTTTCCAGCATGTTTATAGTAGATCTTCGACGACTGTAAAAGTGATTTTTGAGCTGTCCTGATTAATATTGATAAATAAAGTCTGTTTCGATAGTTTATCAAGTGTCGTCGTTATTCACTCCAAATCTACAAACTCCGTGTGAACGTGAAGGAAGAAAATAACGTAACAACTGGTGTCAGGAAGAGAAAAACGCAACACTATCGTACTACTACTTCGCACATTTTTTAGACGATTTTCATTGCATTTACAGAAATATTTAACCTAAATGTTTTGCGTTTTAGATGTTCCATTTGATAACCCTTATTCTTCACTATCTTTCCACGCCGTTATTTCCAAGATAATAAAGCTGTTTTAGTAGCGGAAGAGTTATTTTATTCCATTCCTCTTGAACAGATTTCCAAAGTTCATGGAGAGTTGTAGGCCGACCTCTGGGCAATCCACTTTTTAAAAGTCCAAAGTGCAAATATCCGTGGATGATATATCAGGAGATTTAGTAGAAATATCAAAGAAGGGTATAGCTTTGATACCCGTTTCTCATTCCATTTTTTTCCCAGGAAATCGCCCGTGACAACTTGGAGCGATGACTGGCCGTTGATTGAGGCTACCTGCCAGCACTACACGGGATGCCCCTCTCCTTAGGCTTTACATGGAATACCAAGGACAGCAGTGACCAGACTCTCAATGGTCCAAATTGCTATTTGGCTACCAATACCCTGGTGGAGGGAACTAACACCTCCCGGCCCATGAAGAGTAAGTATAGACTTACCCCATGGACCATCGGGAACCGCCAAGTTCATAAATTTTATACTCCCGTGGCCGAGACTGCCTAGGTACAGATCCTAGACAGTACTTCGCAGAATACTCTACGTCAACCTCCGGGGGGGGTCACTATGGGTAAAGAGAAGGTATTTCATATTTGAAAATTGGATACAAAATATGTTCCTGTTAATATGTGGAGATGACCCTATAAGACATTTCTCCCGCCTTCTTAGCATGCCTTCGTGGTGTAGTGGTCAGCACGCTCGATGCATATTCGAGAGGTATATGGTTCGAGTCCCGGCGAGGGCATTGCTTATTTTTCATGTTTCTTGCTTCGAAACAACATAATGTCTCTACAACCTTAACAGTTTTCTGCACTCTCTTTTATATTTGAAAACTGGTTACAGAACATGTTCCTGATAATATGTGGAGTTGAACTTAAAAGTTTTCCACACTCTCTATAATTTTTATTGGTCGTTATATAAAAAATCAGCAACAGTCATAAATCCCTTTGAAAAACTTTCTTTAGGTTCTTTGAACCATGTTCTAAGATTTTTTTTTCTTCTCTTTTTTAATAAATGGATCTCTCTTTATAGCAGTTATTTAAATGTAAACAGGTGACAGGTGACGGAGGACGGGGACGCCTGACGTATAACATACGTAAACAGGCATATGTCCCACGTCCTCCACTATCTCGAAGAAGCAACTCGCTGGAGCCCCGTGAGGCTGCACCAGGAGTTTACATGGCCATACAGGGGCTAGATGTCGGGTAGTTTTTACATAGGACGTTGTTAATAACACAAAGTAACTTAGAAAGAATATAAAGGATAGCATTAAGACACTAAAACACTCATATAAGCTGAAACACATAGATATACAAAATTAAACGTAAAAGCATAAAAACACACTCGTAATTACGTAACATAAAGACATAGAAACACACACGAAAATACATATCATGACACATAAAATATAGAGGAAACATATAAGACATAGTAAGGTGTGAGTAAAGCAGTAGTGCTGTGCGGAAATATGCTCAGTTCCCATAATACATAATGTACATACTTTCATTAGGGGCTTCTGTTGCATGAATTACATATTTCGTTGCATACACTACATTCGTGCATTGTACCGATATTATATATTTCGATTTACGATAACACATCATTCCATTGGGTGCCCAATGCTTCACACTGATAAACATGTCAGTAACATTATATCTGCAAGTTGGTGGCTATTGAAAGCAGATGTTAACACGAGGCTCGAAATTGAATGTGGAATGTGTATTACAGAATGTTGTACATACTGCGAATATCTAATAGTTGAGTACATTGTCTGCAGTACCATGCTACTGTGGCTCGCAAATGTCTTGCCCTAGGGCGTTGATTTGCTGTACAACTGCGCAGAACAGATGCTCCTTATAGCTGGCGGGTGTTTGATTATGAAACGATAGTAAAGTGTTCTATCATTCGTTGGATGTGGTAAGTGGTGGTTTGTTGTTAGACTGCAGTCAAATAGATAGTGCTCGGGAGAACCTAGCATGCCACAGACACAATTGTCAGATGCTGAGATGCCATGACGCATAAAATAAGATGGAAATGGGCCATGACCCGTTATGTACTGTGTCAGTGGGGCTATTGTTATAAGACGTTTAAATGTAAACAAGATTCATCTACTGTGACAAAGTTTTTCTATTTTTGTCCGAATAATTGTTTCTCGTAGAGAATTGTACATCGCGTTCTGCTTTCGGCGATATGTCGTAAAAAACTATGATGCACATTACGTTTTTTTCGCCTTTTTAAGATTCAGATCACTTTGTTTACAGATGATAGCGAGCATCTTAATGATTATGCAACTGTTCTTTGCCTTCGAAGATTTTCTTTTAACATTAAAACTCTTACCTTTGCACCATCCGAAACATTCCGTTTCTCTTCTTTTCGTTTTTCCGTTTCCGTTCTCTCTTAGACTTCTCTTGTATATGCATTTTGAACAATTTCTTTCCTTAAAACCAAACTTTTATGTTTTTGACCTTTCCTATTCATAATATTATCCATCATTGCTTTAGATACCGAAAATTCATGGCTTTCATAGTATTTTTTATAATTTTTTTCGGAAAATTATAATAATTAATTATTTATTATAATTTTCTTCGGAAAGAGTACAAATATAGCCTTCCGTCTAATACTTTTTTAAAAGCGCCATTTTGCATGAAAACAAAATTGGCAAATAGCAGACGATAATTTGCAATTTCAAAAATGTAATTGCAGTTAAAAAAACGTTTCCAAGCAGGTGACTTTTTTTTATAACAAAGCAAAGTCGTCTAAAATATGTGTGAACAGCCGCTGTATATATCGATTTTGACAAAAAGGTCTGTTACATTTTGCTTTTTAGTGTTATTGTAGTTATCATCTGCACAGTCAAATGGTTTAGAAATTTCAATGGATTGATAAAAATATTTATCACGTTTTGAATCACCAATGAAATTTCTAAGCCATAAAATTTTTTAATTCTTGCATTTTATCGATAACGAACCTGTGGAAAACCCAGACTACATTTAGCATTTTTATCACGTTGCGAGTAACGTGGCATTCTCTCACTCAACATGAATTCTCTCAACATATTTTAACGTGTAACACTGTACCGTGAATTCTCTCAACACATTTTTCTTTACATCTGAAGTTCAACGAAATTTATCCAGTGAAATTCTTATATGTTTTATTATCAAAATTTCTAATAAAGAACAAACAAGTTTGTACTCTCAGCATGCGCAAACTGTATTTTTGATCCTGTAATGCAGTTATTCAGGTTGCAAAACTTCTTCTCAGATTGCAGCTGTTGGTTTATAAATCAATGCTGATAGAGGATTTGCTTAAGATATTTTATAAAAGTTCGGATGCATAAAATGTGATTACTTTTTTGATGGCATAATTTTTCCTGGCATATTTATGAAATAATCATTACATTGGTAAATAAATATTCCAAATTTCATACATATATTTCACGCATTTACAAGAGTTTACGATAAACATAATTAATACATGAAATTTACGCGCAGTCCCTTCACAATCAGTAGGATTCTAAATATCGTAGACTACCCGAGGGCTATCTGCCTAAAAGCATGGATATCTTCATGGAGTATTTTCCAATCGAAACTGGCTCTTATTCAAGTTACAAGGAGAAAATCACAAAAGCTAACCAGGCAGCCAACCCGTTCGTCTGCAGGTCGAACACCTAGTATTCAGCGATTTTACCCACTCGGCTACTGGTGGGGTATCACAACCGGATCAAGTTAGTCAAATGAAATTGTGTGAAATTTCTTTATAAAACTACCCATCATATACCTTCACCACAAAATACGAAAGAAGAAAATTTTTCGGTACTTAAATGTTTACAAGTATTTAATGGAATATATATGTTACCGTGAAACATCGAAATTGGAGAATGTCGACTTTCACCGGAGAATATCAACATTCACCAAATACGTCGGTAAAAGACCGAATATTTCACTACATTCTTCTATATTCGGACTCTCACCGGTGTATGTCGACAATCACAGATATGCTCTGGTGATAGTCGAAAAGAGAGGTCATAAAGTGCCATCATAGTTTAAGTTGTTGCAATAAATAAGATTTGAATCACATAATTTAGTAAATTTTTTATTACTGTTATTTTATTTTCTCATTTAGAACGTACTGTATAATTAAGTAAGTTTTTAACTTCTATTATTTTCCTTTCTCATTTTGAATGTATTATGTATTTTAGGTTCTCATGTTCTTAAGTTCTTATTTCAAGTTTCAAGTGCGTTTATTCGCAACTGAATTACGGAGAAGAAAATATAATATTGTTGTATGTTCAACATTCACCATTAGTACATGGTGAACGTCGACATTGACCGGTGTAAGAGTATTTGGAAAATATTTCGGACATACCAAGAGACTATGTGAATGTTGACATTCACCGGTGAAAGTCGACATTCTCCAGATTTCGGTGTTTCACCGTAACATATACATGGATAATCAGGGATTGCTTATTCACCTTAGCAATGAAATTGCCATTTTTAATGAACTCATTTTTTAATTATTGTTTTATTTCATTTTCAGTACAGATCATAGCAAGTTATTTTATCTCTTAAGCTTTGTTAAGTATGTCGTTGTGTGTCTGCTCTTCTTCCGGTTAAAGCTGCATTCCTTGAAATCTAAAACTTCCGGTAAGGGAAACGGAGGAAATTCTTTTCTTTTCTTTTCCCCCTTTCAATATTTGATAAGAATCCTATATCGAATATTTGTAATGGTTAAGTGTGAGCATAAGATTATTTTAAGGTTTCTAATCAAAAATATATCAATAATCTATATTTTAATATGCTAATATTTGTGTTTGTGGGGGAAGAAAAGCTTATACTGGCGTATATTTTGAATAAAGTTCTTTTGGTTTTGCTGTGATCTCATATAAATTTCCCTTTGTCAGGAGCAATCATTTTTTGCAAATACAGGAGGAGCAAATAATCTGATTTAAAAGAAAATAAGCCGTAAAAAAAATTTGCAAAGAAGCTTGAAAAAGTTGCGATATTGAAATTGCGAAAGTGCTGGGAGGAGCTGCTATTTTTATTGTTTGCTCTTCTTCATTGGCAAAACGTTTTTGCCCCTGAATGAAGAGATCTATCTGAGATCGCTCTCAAAATTGGAATAATTTTGTTCGGAAATTGGGCCAATCTAATGCTGCTTTCTTTTGCCTCTCTTTAATTTTTACATTAGTGTGTAATGTTCGCTTTGTCCTTTAAAACACTGGGACATGTTACGAAAAATTGTGGGATTGTGGGATGTCTATAGTGAGGTGTAAACGAAAGTACGCGTACTTAATTAACACTTTTCTTCTCCTACTATGCACTCCTGTGTGCCAGCGACATCTATAACTATCTCCGAAATGATTGGTGCCTTCTCTCTCACGCATCCTAAATTTATTACGATTAACAAAGGTCGTCTACTTTGACTTTTATTAATTGTTATTAATCACAATTAATAAAAGTCATTGAAAATAATTAATTACTGAATTAATTATTGAATTACAAGTAATTAGGGAATTGACTGACTTATTACATATATATGTACAATTAAATCTGTTTACATCACGAAAAGAGCCTGACTGCCGTATTGACGGGCCCTGCTTCGAATCCTGGAGAAGGCATAGTTGTAACTGTACATGCCTTCGTAGGAGGTGTACAGTGGCAACCTGTTAGGTGCTTCCATAATGAAATGGCCACCACTTCCGGCCCTTGTAGTAGCGCAAAGCTAATGTCTTAATTAATGGATATTAAATTAATTTAATTAATGGCTAATGGCTTAAATAACGCGCCCAGCCATTAAAAAAAATTCTCACAAAAAAATTTAAAAATCAGAAAGACTTCAGATTTTATATTACGCACAAAGGGGCATTTTTTAGCGTTTTGTGTGTTACCAATTTTTTTTCCTTTTCGCAAAGACGATTTCATATTATCAAGGCATTCAGGGGATGTTTGGATTCAAAGTCTCAAGCTTAATATCTTAAGATCTCTGTCGACGCGAACCTCTGAATAAGAGGTCACATGCGAATCATATTTCCTCAATGAGAAATGAAGGTGAATAATAAGCTATGTCCGTTAAAAGTGTAGAGGTTTGGTGATAAAGAACATATTTATAACAATCTGCATCATTGTACGCTTGATTTGCGGCTAGTTCTCTAAAGGTAAAAGAAGTCTTCAGAGAAGTAAGTTTAATGAATATTTTGTTGCTGTGCACATATGTATTTCTAACATTCATCGCAACTGCTTTTAATTCCTTGTACGAAGTAGAGTAAATATTGTAATTACGAAAAATTCCGGGTTTCACATTTCAACGTAAATATCCATTTTGAACGATATCGAATGCAATTCAACGATATTTTTCCACGACAAACGAATTAAATAACTGATTTAAAGATGGATTCGAAAGAAATTTTTTTCGTGGCGTCTGTATGAATGTAGGTACATACATATGTATGTATGTATCTCGCATAACTCAAGAAGGAGTAGCCGAAGAACGTTGAAATTTTGTATATAGGACTACTATAACATGTAGTTGTCCACCTCCCGTTTTGGTTTCAATCGGCCGCACCAAAAGGATATATATATACCCACTCTGTTGCACGGCTTAGTGTGCTTAGTTTTTTTAAAATTCTTATAAGACGGGTAAATTGTGCAATTTTTGCTTTAAAAATGTTTTTCTTATCTTCCGGTTAAGATTTTTATGTCTTTAAATAATATGTACGCAATAGTTGTAGAACTATCAATAATTTAAAATTTGTTTAAGTGCATTTAAGCCTATTTTTTTACCACAGACGTATTTGTTTACATTCGTTTTCATTTCAAACTTAGAAGAATAATTAATTAATTCTTTTTTCACCTTCAGTGTTTTTTTCCCCGAGAGCTACTATAAGAAAACTTTTAATTTTGTTCACCGAAAAAAATGCCTTCTTACTTGCTGGCCGAATTGCTTATTTTTGCTTAGAAAATCTAATTTTAATTGTAAACATTGTCTTTTAATTGCTTTAACTTTTTTTGGTGTTTTGTGTTTTCCTATATCTTTCAGATTTTACTGAAAATATTTTGAGTTTTTACTTATTTTTGCCTTGTCGCGAAGTGAGAACTGAATTAATTTGAATAAGAAATGTATCTCTAATAAAATTCGAGGAAATAAGTTTAAATGAAATGAGGTAAAAATGCCTATAATGTAATATTCCGTACAAGGAAGTCATGTGGTGTACACATCAGATTTCCTTAAATTATGAGTCATGATATGTTTTTAAAGAGTAATTTTTTACTGAAATGAAATATACGCTATTGAAATTAATATACGCTATTGAACTGCTACATTTTCAAAAATTGATAACCTGATTTCTTTTCTTGAATGACAATTTACATTACTCAATATTTTTTGTAAACGCATTACCTGATTCGTTAACAGGACCATAACTTTTTAATATATACTGTGTTGTATTATGATTTTTTCACAAGATCATTACCTGATATTTTTTCCCACACCAAATGCATCAAATGATTTTATTAATAAAAACATCTTTTTCTAACATATTTTGATGAATGTGATTTTCTTTGCAACCGGTTTAAAAAATAGTGTTGATTGATATGTATTAGAGATATGCATTTTGTTTTCTTCTTACCTCCCGGGAAAGTATTCCTCTTGTATAGCCATTATGACACATATATTTTATTTATATATAAAATAAAACCTTAACGTGGCTTATATTTAAGTAGTGTTTGCTTGATTTAATGTTTTATTTTTTATTGTTCCACCATTATTCTTACTGGCAGGGGTTGTTCACAATTAAAACACAGACGCATTAATTAATCATGGTTCTCATTTTGGTAATCCTTCAAAAGACGTGCTTATCTGTAATGTGTTACAGATAAGGTTATTATTTAAATTGGTAGGGTTATTTGGAATTATTACTTTAAAGTTTATTTAACTCAGTAATGACTTCATTATTAATTGTTGAGTTTAAATTCACTTAGTGATAGCTTTGTGCTTAGTTACCAACCAGGTAATGTTTTGTACCAACTAATTAAGGGTACCATCACACTTTTCTTGCTTTTAGAGATTCTTGCTTTTCGCCCATCACTATCAGTGATTTAACATTGGTGCCGTGACCAGGATTTATTTTTTTTTCTCCGGCAACATCAATTCAGGATACCATTACTTTAAGGACATAATATTTATACGTAATAGTTTTTCGAATATACATTATCTTAAGAGTTTTAACATATTTTATAGATGCTTTGCTTATGTGTATCTGTGTAACGGTATTGAGACGGACACTTTTCCCTCCCGATATATATTGCAACACCTGTGGAATTAGAGTTTATTTATTTTTATAAATAAACTATAACGTTTTATAATAAATTACACCTGGTAATTATAGTATATATATATATATATACACAATTTATATATATATATAAACTGTAACAAATTCTGTGATCTTTCAGTTCAGGATGTCTTCAGTTACGCCTTTGCTTTGCATACTTATATGCTTCGCAACATTCGTGTCAAGCTTACACTTATATCCTGAACAAGGAGGCTCAGAAGGCTCCGCTAACAGAGCTTGGCAAGCTTGGCAAGGGGCTGGAGATATGCTTAAAGCTTATAATGAGATGAGAGAAGCCAATACCATAGGTGCAGACAAATATTTCCATGCAAAGGGAAACTATAATGCAGCACGAAGAGGACCTGGAGGAAAATGGGCAGCGGAAGTAATCAGGTAAGTTTATTATTTGAAATAATTAGAGCTGGTGAGTTTAATGAAATCAGTTTTCCAAAATCTCTATGGCAAATGAAACCATAGTACGTTAATACTTGCTCGCATGACTGTGTCTACAAGATATCACATTTCTTGAAAGGAGGTTAAGTAATACTGAGCTACCTCCTAAATTTGTTCTCGCAGTTAATGAGATTAAACTCGATAACTTTTATTCATAATATTAAGATATCCCTAATATCACTGAACCAATTTTACTGGAACGCAATATCAAAGTATTTACTCCGGAAGCTTAACATTTGAGAGTAATTTATATTCTATTGAAGGGAAATTTACTCTCCAAATACGCTACGGTATGGTGGCTTTTAGTAAAGACGGATTGGAATCTTGAAAGGAATTTTAAGAAAAGTTTTCACTCCTCCACCAGAGCAGTTTTTAACTCCTGAATGATCCTCGGCGGGGGTTAGGGTATTGCAATAGTTCTCTCAGGAGCATCTGCAGCAAGTTTAATAGGATTAAGATCAGGACATGTGGCTGGCGAATCCATTCAGTGAATATCCTCGCTTCCCAGGTAGTCATCAGCCAGGTGGGCCCTATGTGGTCGTGCGTTGTTCTCCATAAAATGAACTCAGGCCCAACAGCTTCCCTGAAAAGTCGCACATACGGCTGTAGAATCTTCTGCCTGTATCTGTTGGAATTCACGGAATCAGTGTCAAACACATAGAACGGTGTGCGGATACCTTGAATGATCCCTACCCAGACCATGACAACTCCAGCACCATAATGGTCCTTTTTCATATTGTTATTGGGGCGGTATGGTGTCCAAGGTTTCCTCCATACCAATAATCACCTAGAATAAGGTTGTAGTCTGAATATTAACTCATTCATGAAGATAACATTAGCCCACTGAAGCTGTGTCCAGTGTTTGGGTTGTATGCACCATTGTAAACCCTCTTCTTTCTAGAAGGGAGTAAGTAAGTTGCAAGTAGCGGGCTTTTGGGCATACAATCCTGTCTCATAGAGATTTCAGGCAACTGTCTTTCTTGAAACTGATGTTCCTGTGGCAGTAGCGAGGTCACAAGCAGTTGTTGGCTTTAGACGTCCTCTGGTGCTTGGCACAAATTGCCAAATACCAGTCGTCATTGGTTGTTGGGGCTCTCGCGGACGTCCTTGCCCTGTTCTTTTCGACACTGTCCCGTTGATTTTAAACTGATTCCACAAATTAGAGATGACATTTGGTGTTATGTCCAGTTCTCTTGCAACCTGAGATTGGGATTGCCCTACTTCAAGTTTGCCCACCATTCTTCATCTTGAACATTTGTCTAAGCGATGATGTGTACTCATTTCACCTGTAAACAGAAAAAAAAAATTATTGAAGGAAGAGCATAAAAATCACTGGTGTGTTTCAGAGCTGAATGAGCTGAAAGCGGACTTTTATACCTCCTGCTGGCGTAGCGACGCACAAAAGAACACATAAACTCATGTAAGCGACACCAGCGTTACAGTAATATTATATGACAATTAACTCTTTACGTTTTGTCTGATATTTTAGGAGGTGTATGGGAAAATGTTTTCCGTCAGTCAATTTTGCCCACAAGTATATATTCAGAAAATTTGTCAAGATCTACGAGCGCGTTTCATGGGGAATATCTTGGTCAAATGGAACAAAGAATTTTAAACATGAAAAGGTCGAAAATTTTGCAAACTGAAGATGCTATCATCATCCAGACGGAAAATGTAAATCGAACAAACAGGCCTCTTGAAAGAGTTCTAGAAGTTTATCTTGGCAAGGGCGGAGCTGTATGAGAATCCATAATCCAAACCAAGTCTGGTACTTTAATTCTTCCTGTAAAAAAAACTTTGTCAATTAGAACTGACGGATTCTACGAGTGACTCTATCTTTAAATCGCACTAGTTGTGAGGAATAAAATTTTGCATTAATTTTTTCTTTTTTGTTGTTTCTTTGTCCACAGACGAAACAAATAAAGACGATAACTGTCCAACACTTAGAGGTAACTTCTTCTTCCGGTTAGTTATATGCAGTTAATTAGGTAGTTATTAATAATTATCATTAGCATTCTGCTTTAGGCACCACGCATGTTTACCCTTTCACTTTCTTATTAGGAGGGAGGTGAACTCGCAACAAATGCTCTCTGAGAGAAAATAAGTACGACTCACTTCCCGCAACGTCCTGTGTTTCTCAACCCAAAATGGCGGCGGACTTTTTAATTGAACTCTGGCTACATTACATATTGCTACATCGGTTACCGAGAGTTATCTCTCCCTGGAGGCACGGAGACCACGAAGTGCTTGGAGCATACTGAAAACGCTCAAAATTGGTCATCGCGCTACTTACTTGGATGGCATACGCCACTACCCTCCGGGCAGTGAAAGATGATTTACAGTAATGTTTATGCTATCCATCAGAGTGAGTTGGGCGATCGCGATAGCCACGAAACTCCAAAGTTTCGAGAGATGACTATCTTGAAACGTTGTGCTTGTTGCAAACTTGCAACTTAAATATAATATTTTTTTCCCTGACCTCTTTTGTGTTGTCGCTGGTCGTTCACAATCACTTTCGTAATGTTTTACACCAGCAATTTTTGTTATATGTGTATATTTCCAATCCTATTTATGGTTTCTCAATGCGCTGATCAGTTTACGCAGAAACACAACGGAGGTTTCCATTCGAAAATTTCGAAATTACTGGAACGGTAACCGTGAGAGCTCTGTTTCCTTAAATCATTATAATCTCAAACGCATTTCTTCACGCAACAATATCTGAAATTTCATTTCGTTTGGTTGAACAGATAAGCCACTGGGAGTTCATACGTCGGGAAAGTTTTTTATGACAACCCTGTACTTCCATATTTGTGACTATGAACAATAAATAATAAAAATCATCTTCGGAAGAATAAGCTATTTTAAACACCTCAAATCGAGGACGCACACTCTATACCGTGCTGAACTTTCATTTATCATGTCTTAAAATGGCACGTAAATGTTTTGTAGAATTGTTATTGCTTCAAGTAAATAAAAGTAACTAATTTGTTTCCTTGTTTTAAAATTTCAGCAACCTTCGTGAGATGTTACCTTTTCAGTCTTCCGGTGACCGTGCTGAAGATTCCAAACTGGATAAAGAGGCGAATGAATGGGGAAGAAATGGTGGAGATCCTAACAAGTACAGACCTAAGTCTCTGGATCCAAAATACTAAGACAGTGAAAAATGTTTTACAGTAATGTTTCCTCTATTGTAACTTCTCTTGCTATTGATAAAAATTCAATGTAAATTGAATGAAACTTGGACGATTATTTCTGTTGTTTCCCTAGCTTTATTTTTGCAAATGCGTAAAAATAAATTTGAATATCACTATTCTTGGGTAGTATTTATTTTTCTATTATCTTAGCTACTGGAGAAGGAAATGTTATCTATAAAAACAAAAGTATGGATAGGAAAATTTGTTTTTAAAAATTAACAATACAAAAATTCTTTTAGATTTTTTTAGAGTGGGTTAAAATGAGAGAATTTTAAAAAAGAGTTTGAGTAGACAAAGAAAATGCCAATTTCACGGCTATTAATTTATCAGAGAATAATTCCGATGATGAGCTGGTGGTACTCATTATCACTTGCAGGAAAATAGTGTTATTTACCAAATCGTATACTGAATATTATCAAGGGTATACTTTGGGTCATGGAGAAAAGAATAATTACAAAGATGTCTGAGTCGAGAAACTAAAACTGTTAATGATAGTGTGTTATGGTCGTGTGCTTATACTGTAACTCACAGTACGTTATGGCGGACAATATCCAAAATGTGTTTCTGTTTACAGCGAAATTAGCTGCATATGTGGCAGTTATTCAGTATAATGATAGATTTCAAGGTTGTTCGAAAATATTATCACAGTTAAACATAGAAAATTTTGGATTTTTGCATTGAAGGGATATAAAAATTTAGATAATATTTGGACCGGTGATTGTATGAAACTCACTTCTTCTAAATAATCTGATGTGGACTTCATGTGATTTCCTTTTATTGCCAATTAAATTATACGCATTTTTTGCCGCCCTTCATTTAAAATTTTTCCTCGAATTACTCTAACTTAATTAACCCTTCAAACAAGTTGAAAATAACATCAGAAACGGCAAGTTTTGAAATAAATTATCCCGCTCAGTTTTTCTCGTACGAGAGTCAAAGTTCTGGTACTTTTCTTTCTGGCATTTTGCGTTGAATCACTATAAACGGCGTATCACTTTTTAAATTGTAGCCCCCAAATATTATCGCCCGGTGTTATATTTAAAGAAATGAAATATGAAGAATCTGCGTAAGTGTATGCATGTTTCTCGCATTGTGATATAAGAACGGTGCATAGAGCCATAATATTTTGAATAATGCTATGTCTCACGAAATATGTGCCTTTTATCAATCTTTTTTTTTTTTTTTTCATGGAAGCCCTACTTTGGAATTTGAAATTTATTTTATTATCCATTTCATACTTTGTAACACTTTAACGAATGTTTGATTAACAAACTAAACAATTTCAAAGTGAGCAATGGCAACACTGTACGGGGGAAAAATCATTTTTATCACCAGCGTGCGAGACTGTGTATCGGAAATTCTAAACATATGCTCATTTTAAAATTATTTTGCGATATTGCTCCTGAATTGAATTTTGTGATTTAAGTGCGACGGACATAATATTTAATAAATAAAGATAACACAGAAAACGTTAAAAAAAAAACGCCCATTCGGACGTAATGTCAAATTTGAAAGCTTTCAGATTTTTGTTAGACTTTTTTATTTTTTCAAGTGCAAAATGCGTTAGTCCAGAACCGCTATTAATTAATTTCGTTTTGGCATTTTGCGTTCGTTCACGATAAAAGTCTGAATCACTCTTCAAATTGTTGCCACCATTATATTTAATGAAATTAAATAATGAAGAATCTGCATGAATGAATGTATGTATGTTTCTTGCATAGTGAAAAATCAGCGGTACCGAGAGACATCAAATTCTGAGTAACGTAGTCCTCCACTCGAATATTGGCATGTGGAAGCCCAAATTTGGAATCTGGAATTTGTTTCATATTTTGTAAAACTTTAACGAATTTTTTATTAACAAACTCAATTTCAAATCGTTCCAATAACATTAACATTGCGTGCATCTTCAAGCACGGATATTCTATGCACGAGGTTTCTTTGCATTTCTTACTGGAGTTACATGTTGCTGGTGTTATATGCGTAGCAACGCAAAGACGTTGCAATGTCTAAAAGTATTTTGCGTCGAATGACTTTGAATGTCTGTATCATTTTTCAAATCTCGCCGTGGGAAGGGGGAAACCTTTGAGCTTAATATAAAATGTGAAAGCTTTCAGATTTAAAAATTTTCTTTTCGTTTTAAACAGGTTATCATTAAACCGGATGCTGAAGGTTATAAAATTTGTCCATGCTAATTATTATAAAATGAAACATACTTAGCTTAATTATTATTCGAATAATTATAGTTGCGTAAGCGAAACACCTTCTCGTTGAATAAATTCCTGTTGCAAGATGACAAAAGAATTTCCATGCGAAGGTGTACTTTGATCGCGTGCCAGTAGTTGCTTGGCAGAAGATAATTTGACCTAACTGAACGTTAAATAAAACACACGAAAGCTTATTTAATTTTCCATATATTCGAGCTTTAAAACAATGGAAATGGAATAAAAGTACATGAAGTAGACAAAGGGGGATTACAGAGTTCGTTACAAATGTGCTTACCTCCGTCGGGTTGCCCAAACAAATTCTCTTCTTTATTTGTATGAAGCAATGTTTGAATAGCCACAATGAGTAACTTTTGGGAAACGGAAGTTAAAAGCCCGTCTGATTGCACTTAGAAGTTGAAAAGTTCCTCTTCGCTGTTTACGGAGCGTCTTTCAAACTACTGATTCTTTTTTGCTGTCGAGCAGATAGTGCATTAAATTGATATTTTGAAAAGATTGTGTTTTAAATTTTTTGCTGTCTTGCAGATAATGTCTGTGATTAAATAGTGAGGAATATCTTTGTATGTATAGATGCATTTTACTCGCATTATGGGAAAACGGCTGCACCTAGAGCCACTAATATTTGAGCGTACTGAGTCTTCCACCCGAAAATGTTCACCTTGGAGCCCGAATTTTGAATTTCGAACTCCTTCTTCATTTACTTCAGAGTTTGTGTAAATTTAATGTGATTCTGATCAACAAACCCGGCAGTTTAATACTAACTCATACCAACTGTTGCCTTTCAGTAAAGCGTCAGATATTTATGTTTGAAAATTAATCTGAAAACTCAGCGATTTTTAAAAATGCGTCTGCAAAGCGTGAGATATTCAGTCAATAAACTAACTAAGCGATATAAAAGAAATGCGTTGACACTGCCCGAAGTAAGGCATTTTTATCTTCTACGCTCCAGTGGGTTGTTATTCCTAAGTACCGAAATGGAGCATTTTAATTTTAAAATTTAGACAGCAAATTTTAGCACATACATGGATTAAGATAAAATTTCTCATACAGTTGTATGAGCTAAACTTTGGGGTTACTCATTGCTGTTACAAAATTAAGAACCGATAAAATTAAATTTTATATTTATTTCTTTTGATGTTATGTTATAAAGTGTCTTCACAAAATTACTTACAATTTATGTGTTTAATTTAAAACAAAATCAGTAAAATTTGCCTTTTAAACTAGACAAAATTCAGTCTTAGATAGACGCTGAATAATTTGATTTTTTCCCTCTGCAGAAAATAAAGCGTTAGTAAAAAGTTGAATAGGAAATATTTCTCTTTTGAGTAGCTTATATTTTGTATTAATAAAATTTATCGAAAGAAAACTTTGAAATAGTCTGTCCAAACAAAGTTCTTGTCCATGGATTATTACTATTATCATTATTATTATTTAAAACTTCGGAGATATTTTTATAGTTATCCATATTCCTAACATACAGTCTATAACATAAAAAGTGACGCACCAAATGGAGTTATTCGAACAGGATGAAACTCGATAGATGTGATGTACATGTATTGAAAATGAAACGTTAACTTTATCATAGAAGTTGAATGTTTTATTAAGGAACTACAGCTACAAAGGGGGAAACTGAATGATACGTTAGATCCCTCTGGCACAAACCCAAGCTGGTATCTGCATAGTCATTAACTCGAATAGCCGACGGATGTCAGCCTGTGAGATTACTAGTGATAGTTTCAAATGAAGAACTAGATCGGCGCAATCGGACAATTCGGAGATGCCGTCTGAACCAGGGACAATTCCACCAGCCAGGTCTGAATCAGGGACATAAAACCAGGGAACCAGGGACAATTCGGAGATGCCGTCTGAACAGATCCCAAACTTACTCTTTTTGGGAAAGATCTGGCAATCACGCCTGCCAAGGTAAGTGTAGGAAAAGAACTTAGACAAGCGTGCCATGCGCGGCCAGTCATTATCCTATAATTCTTGTTGGTCATGACGCTAACGAGTTACATCAGGAAAGCACGCGCGGATAAATGCAATGATTCCTTACAAACTTATACGCGTTAAGGACAAGAAAATGAAATAAAATAAAATAAAAAAATATATAAAGCCATAAAATTTTCAACTTCCAAAATGTACTACTTATTTTATGGTTATTGAAAATAATATTTCAGATGGGACATTTCTGTTCCGTTGCGGAATGTATTGAAACTTTTTTGAAACACCTCAACCCTGAAATCTACTAAAATTGAAATTTTAAGCATGTGATTACATTAAGAAACCTTTTCTATCATATGGGATAAAATAACTGTTATAGGGAGGAGGGAACAGAAAAAAAAAAAAAAAAAAAAAAAAAAAAAAAACACCTTGGTAAAAAATTTCGGTACCATTCCGTTTTGAGGACCGTAAAAAAATCGCCAAACTATTGTCGATGCCAGTGCTGCCAAAAATAATTGCGGCAACCCTAACGCAAGAAAGGAAATATAATAGTAAATAACTATTTAAATGATTGTTTTAATTTAGATGAAAGGTTAATTTTATATAATACTTTTTTATTATTATAATTGATATAAAAAAGGCTAAACATAACTGAATGAAAGTAAATAATTATTTCAAATTATTATTATAAATGTACATATAAAATAGCTAAACATAACTGAATGGATTCCTGCATCGCTATTTCGCTACCGAGTTATCGCTAAAACACAATTTCATCTCGTTGGCTGTTCAAACATAATTTTCCATGATGAATGATGCCTTTTCTTTGAAAAAAATTCTTGGTAAAGTGCAGAATCGCCTACTTATTTGTTTGGCGCTTTTTACAAGGGTAAAAACAATTGGATTTTTGTCAATTTCCTTTTACTTTTTAAGTGAAAACAGGCCGATGTGTACATAGATAAAGCCAAGGGTGTGTGCAGTGCCAGTTTTCTGCAATTCTGAGAATTTTTTTTTTTAAGTGAAAATAGGTCGATGTGTACATGGATTGCAGACTTTTCGTCATGGCAATTCCCAAATTGTTAAATCTATAGGATATCAAAAAAGGATTTAAATCAAAAAAGAATTTAAAAGCTAAACTAGTATTTCAATGGCATCTTAAGAAATATAGAACAATCTAAAATTACGCAATTTGAAATCAGCGCGTACGCTAGATTTGGCGCGCTGTTAAAAGGACGCGTTTGCTAGATTTTACGCTTTTGCGCATACATTTTTCCTGCAATTTTATACAGTCCTCGAAACGGAATAGTACCAAAATTTCTTTTCCAATATTTAAAGAATTAAGTAAATTTGATTAAACGAAATAATAATTTGATAATTGCAAAAAGTGAAAATTCCCTAAAATTTAAAAGTACTTTCTTTGCTATGGTAGTTATGTTAGGACTTTTATAACTTTTTCAATGCGACTGAAAAATATAGAGGAGAAATAAGGAAAATTTCATATTCAGATCTTTCACAGTCCTAGACAATTAATAATATTTTTCCAATTTGATTTTATTCTTAATTTTCAGCTTATGTTCATGAAATGCTGCAAATAGGTTTCAGTCAGAATTTAAAATTTTGGTAAAGACATATTTTCGAACAATATACAATAACTGCGAAAGCAAGTAACATGATTCAGATAAATACTAATTTCAGTTTTTATCTACTCTTACGTGCAGTTCATTATACATGCAACGACTGCTTTTAACGTGTTATCAAACTTAAAAGTGTGTTACGTAATGCTCGATATTTAAAAAATTTTTTTTCGAAACACATTTATAATTATTATATTTATTAAGTGGAAAATGTAAACTATATCTTAGATCTATAAATTTAACATTTTATAGCAATGAGAAAATAAATGCCCATTTATTAAAGGACAAAAAGATACGTTTGATTGCTTTATAGTTAAAAAATCTTTTAGGAAAATCGAAATAATAAAATTAATTAAAATATTTTTTTCTGCTAATAATGGAATTTACTTATACGAATACTGTACTTGTGTGTATTGCCAGTAGATGGCAGCGTCAACCCATACTTTATCCAAGACTGTGGAATAAATTATAACGCAATTTGTGTCGATAGATGGCAGCACCATATGCAAAGTTCTAATATGAAGTATTTAAACTGCAGCTTCTCAATTTGAAATTCAAAGATGGAATAAAACCAGAAAAATATTACTATAATGATGTATTTTCAGCATAAAATATTTTAACGTATATTTTTGTCGAATATCATATTTATTTCGAGAAGTTCATCCGTTATTCAAACTATTTATTTTTAGAAAATATATCTTGCATTTTCAATGTAATTCTTTCTCTTTGTTTCGATTTCTGTTTTTTAAAATAGCGGAAGAGGAAGATAAACATGTTACTCTCTGCTAATTTGTTGATGAAACCCTTGAAATTATAAAAATCTTGTTGTAAGTAAAAATGAGAAATTGCTTCGGACAATGTAATACAAGATGTTATTAAATAACAATTTTGAATTTCTTAACAGTATTCAGCTTCCTTGTTGTGAAATGTATTTAAAACACATTTACGTAAAGTTTAAGCCTTACAAAACCAGTAGAACAGAGAAATGAGCCTATTACTTCTATTTTATTCTCCGGGGAGGGGAAAGGTTCATGTTAGTGTAACCCCAATGAGGAATTATTTTTATTTTCAAAATGACTTGCCGCTATGCAAATAAAAGAGAGTCAAAAAAAAATTTTTTTTTTTTTTAAATTAAAAGCAGAACTTATATTATTACAGTCGGTTTCTCATATCGAGCTATTAAAAATGCCAGAAATTTCATCTGCACGCAAATAGTATTTAGAATGCATTGGGAAAAAATAAAAAAATAATTTAAAATTGAATTTAACATTATTGTATAATACTTGAAAAATTTCTAAATATGTGTTTCGGGACACGAGAAAGGGTTCCGATTCAAGGAATGTGTACCTTGCGGAGTTATGAATTGCTGTTTTACAATAGACAGGAAAAGTTATAAAAGAGAAAGTAAAAAGAAAATCTGAAAGCCTTCAGTTTTTATATTACACCCGAAAGGGCGTTTTTCTAACGTTTTGTGTAATACCCTTATTTATTAAATATCATGATCTTCACACTTAAACCACATAAAATTCAATTTAACAGCAATATCACAAAATATTTAAAAACAGCATATGTTTAGAATTTCCGATAGACCGTCTCGCACGCTGGAGATAAAAAATTTTTTTTCGTATAATGTTGCCATTTCTCGCTTTGAAATCGTTGAGTTTGCTGATCCAAAATTTGCTAGACTTAATTTGTAAAACAAAGTTTTATTTTGTAAAATTTTTTCAAAATTCAAATTTTGTAAAATAAAATGTTTAAATAATTTTTAATATGTTTAAAATAAAAAATTTGAAATAGAAAATAAAACAAATTCGAAATTCGGGCTTCCATGTGTCCATGTTTAGTTGGAGGATTATGTTATTTAGAACTGGATGGCTCTAGGTACCGTTGCTTTTTCACAGTGCGAGAAAAATTCATGCATTGAGGCAGATACTTCATTATTTAGTTTTGCATATATAATACATGACGATAATATTTGGTGGCGACACTTGGAAAAGTGAGCAAAATGTTGCTTTGAGACTAATAGCCTTTTAGGTTTAAAGCCCCTTTGGACTAAAAACTGCGTTTTCTATTCACGTCATAGGCATATGTAAGTTTTCCTGCACCGTAATGAATATATATATCTTAAAAATTTTTAATGCAATGAAAATAAGGCTAGGATAATTATAATTTAAGCCCCTTCGAACTACTAATTTAGCACCAAATATTAGAAAAATTTAATATTTAGGCAAAATTTGAGTTGTAGTATCGAAATATGAAAAAAAAAATGGCATGTCATTTCAGAAAAAGTCCGACTTTTCAGTCAAAATGTCTATGTTAGAATGATGCTATATATAAATCAAATATATATCCTGAATCGCGCTTTCGAGACATGAAAAGCGCAATTTGAATTTCGTCAATCGGCCCAGTAGAGCGGAAGATATAGAACTGTTCTTCTTTCAGTCCAAAGGGGCAATTGGTCCTGAAAGACTATTAATTTCGTTTTGGCATTTTGCGCTGAACACTTTTAAAAGGCTGTATCACTTTTCAAATCGTTGCCATCATACATTATCGCCCTGTCTTATATTTAAAGAAATTAAATAATAAAGAATCTGCATAAATGTATATATTGTTACGTTATATTCTTCCTTCACATTTGTACGGGCCCAACAGCGGCCGAGCGGTAAAGTCGCTGAACACTGGTAGTTCGGTCCGAGGTTCGAATCCCGCGAACGGGCTGGCTGCATGGGCGTTTTCGTGGTTTTCCCCATGTGTAACGTGTATACGAGCCAGTTTCCCTTAGAAAGTCCTCCACAAAGGCATCCCTCTCCTTAGGCAGACAGCCCTCGTGTGCTTTACCATAATTAAATACACCAACACCAACACATTTGTACGGGGTTCGTAGATTTGGAGTGAATAACGACGACACTTGATATAGTATCGAAACACACTTTATTTTAGTCAATATTACTCAGGGCAGCTCCAAAGTCACTCTTTACATCCGTCGAAGATCTACTATAAACAAGCTGGAACAATCAGTGACACAGCCTTCAGGCTATCCCGGTGAAGACAGCTTTACGGCAAAGCACTAGAGTTCAGCTCCCGACTCTCCTCGGTCGTTCTGGGAACTCTACGTACTCTGGAGACTCTCCAAGCCACAACTTGCGGTGCACTCAACGATACACAAGAGTACAGCTGTCGACTCGGTTGAGTCGTTCCTGGAGCTCAGGACATTCTAAGACAAAACTCGACGATGCACTAACTCGCGATACGCTAAAGACTCTCTCGATGCACTCGACGACAAACTCGGCGTTAGACTTCGAGACACTTGCTCAATGACTGAGTATCAGCTCGCTAGACGAGGCACACTAACTGATTGTAGACTAGCAGGGTTTAAATAGATTTCGGTTAGTGTTCGAGAACATTCTGGGCTAAGCCGGTAAGAATTCGTTCCAGAAGGTTCTCCATACGTCCATGGCACATCGCCAATTTTGTCGCCAAATGGGCGATTTCTTGCCAAAGGTGGCAACCTCTTTTCCTATGCCATTTTATGGCAATTCTAAACTTGCTTTGCGGGGAAACTACCTTACCGCGACTTGACATTTCGTAACAATATGTTTCTCGCATTCTGATAAAACAACGGTACCTAGAGCCATCGAAATTTGAATAACGTAATCTTCCATAGAATATGGGCATGTGGAAGCCCTAGTTTGAATTTGAAATTTGTTTTATTATCGATTTCAGAATTTGTAAGACTTCAACGAATTTCTGAATAACAAACTCAACGATTTCAAAGCGAGCAATGGCAAAGCTGTAGGGGGGACATTTTTATCTCCAGCGCGCGACACTGTGTATCGGAAACCCTAAAGATATGCTCAATTTAAAACTATTTTGCGATATTGCTGTTGAACCGAATTTTGTGGCATAAGTGCGAAGAATGTGATATTTAATAAATAAAAGTAACAGGCAGAATGTTAAATAAACGCCTCTTTGGACGTAATTTAAAATCTGAAACCTTTCAGATTTTGTTTTCCGCTGTGTTCTTAGACAGTTTTAATTATATATACAATTTTTTCTTTCAAATTTTTTATTCCTTTTGTCACGGGTCGCAAAAAAGATTTCATATTATCAAGTCAGTCAGGTGATGTTTGGACTGAAAGTAAAAGTACCATATCTGAAGCTTTATATCGACGCGAACCTCTGAATAAGGGATCACATGACAGTTATATTTCTTCAATGAGAAATGAAAGTGAAAGTGTTATGATAATAAGCTATGTCCGTTAAAAGTGCAGAGGATTGGTGATAAAGAGTGCTGCGGCTGATTGGTCTCGTTCGTAAAAAGTGTTGCAGCTGATTGTTCTCTAAATCTTGGAAATATCCGTTTAAAGTGCATTTAAATGCATATTGATAAAAATTTGTATCATTGTACGCTTGATTTTCGGTTAGTTCTCGCAAGGTAAAAGAAATCGTCAGAGAAGTAAGTTTAATCAATTTGTTGTTGCTATGCACATATATATTTTTAGAATGTCTACATATCTAAAGAAGAACGTCTGTGTGATTGTTCCCTAATGAGTCAGTTACTACCATAACTATCTTCACTAAACGTTCTACAATTCTTTTCTGCATCCTTGAAAAGGTCGAAGTCCACTTTAAAAAAAAAAAAAAAAAAAAAAAAAAAAAAAAAATGCTAAAAGCAGAGATATTAATTAAAAACGCTTAAAACTCTAATTTTCGCCCTCTTTTCTCTTTTGGAGTGGCAACAGTGCTGATATCATCAACAATTGTTGCGGCCGTTATTGATTAGTGCCATTATATAATGAAAGAGAATTAGTTTATTTTTCTGTCGAAATTTTTATATGGGTTCCATATCGCATCAGAATTAAAAATGCGTGACTATGAATCGTAGCTTTTGCTCAAAATAATGATGTATTTGTTTTTATTTTTGCTGACCCAAATGTGTGTCATATTAATATATATATACCATATGATTCTATGATTATGTAGCCAGTTGTTGTACATGTATTGAGTATTACTTTTTTCCTTTGGTATTTTTTATGCATTACAATGACGCATTATATTTCTTATAACGTGTAATATGCTATTATCGGAATTGTCAAATGACATCATGAGTAAAATAATACATTACACTAAATCTAACTTAACTGGCATCGGGTACTTCCGCTAGTTTTTGTATAAGAAAAAAGAAATGAATTAATATAGTAAGAATCAGCATAAATTTATCTTTTCACCTCATCTCAATCTGTTTTCTTTATTATGAGTCATGATATGCTTTTAAAGAGTAATTTTTTTACGTTGATTAAAATGTAATTTTTGGTTCCTTGATTTTTTTCACAAATGCATTACCTCGATTTTTTTTTTCTGAATGATAATTTTCCTATCTAATATTTTTCTGCAAATGGGTTAGCTGATTTCACTAGTCAGAACATAATTTTTTAATATATATGCTACTAAACTGTGACTTTTTCACAAATGCATAACTTGATTTCTTTTCTTGAATGATAATTTTCTTTACCTAATATTTTTTGTACATTACCTGATTTGTTAACATATAAGGTATTTCTTCAACTTCCCTAGCGTGCCTTCGTGATGTAGTGGTCAGCACACTGAGCCGGTATTTAACCCAATGTCTCTACAGTGACCCCCGAACTAAAAGGGTTCTTGGATGACGATTCTCAGCACCCAGATTTGGCGATTAGGTTCCCTAAAAACCCCAGTCGCCCTTTGCGGCATGGTGGGTCAATATATGTCCCACCTAATTAATATTTATTTTCTCAGTTAGCAATTTCCGTTAGAAGTTTTCTAATCTTTTAAAAATAATCTATGTTAGTTATTATTTTTCTCAGTAGATGTTACTACTATACCAGGGCTTAAGTTTATAAGCAAAAAATATTCAAAATAGGATCACAAGAGTGATATCCATGTATCTCGCATTTTTTCAATATTTTAAAAAATTTTGGTATACAATTTATGATATGTAATGATTCTTTTTAATATTCAAAGGTTTTATTTTAAAAATCTTAATTGGATTCAATATTTATAATATTAATTTTGCAGTTGAAATAAGTGGGTTAAAATTTGTCCCACCACACACTTGAATTTCCGCTCAATAGATGGCAGCACTCACGATTATTTTTCTTTTCTTTTTTGCATCTACTTTTTTCGTGATTGCTAGCGCTTTTACATCCGTTGTATGATCTGATGTGTTAAAATGTCTAGAAAAAAATTAACAACTCAGGAAGCTTTGGATCTTTTTGCTGAATTGCCATCCGATTGCGACTCTGCTTAAGATGTCAGTTCTGATTCAGATGAAATTGAAATCCAGGATAGAATAACTGAGGTTGAAGTTATTGCTGAAGAAGAAAAGGGAAGTAGTTATAATTTGTTTCGCTTTTTAAAGACATAGAACCCATCTATGCATGTGACACTGTAAACATGGAATCGGAAGTATCTACCCAAAAACTTAAAAGAAGACAAATTTATGTCGAGAGGAGATATATAGACTTTTCAGTTAATGATGACTCAATTTATTGCATAAAATGGAAGGATAAAAGATCCGTTTCTATCATTTCAGTTGCCTTTCTTGGAAAAGGCAACTGAAATGAAAGAAATTAATAGAAAAAACGAGATGGAAAGACAAAAAAAAAAAAAAAAAAAAAAAAAAAGTACTGTGCCCAAACAGCATTATTTCATACAATAAGAATATGGGATATGTCGACTGAGTGATCAACTGAAAGGACTATATGAAATAGACTGCAAAAGCAAGAAAATGGTGGCAAATGATTTTTTTTTTTTTTTTTTTTTTTTTTTTTTTTACTTTTTAGATGCGAGTATAGTAAACACATTTATTCAAGTTTGTTCGCGAACCTGATCATGATGTAAAAACAATGAAAGATTTTCTTCTCTCAGTTACAGAAGGTCTAATGGCACTTGCAGGCAAGAAAGAGCTGAAAAGAAAACTGAAATCCCCAGTTCAAATGAAAACTAAAAACCCGTTCGTACAACCAGAAAAGAGACTAAAATATGTAAGTAAAACGCCAAAGAGAACGAGCAGGAGAAGATGTGCATATTGCAGCATATCGAAAGAATGAACGACAAACATTTTGGATGTGTGAAACATGTGATGTGCCTCTATGCTTACAAAAGAATGAAACAACATGTTTTTCAAAGTTTCATGAAAAATGACTTTTTTCAATTTTAATCATTTATAAATGTTTTTGAATCAAGTGACAACTTTAATATTTTATTTAGTATCATATGTACGAGTATCAAATTTTAATCTTAAAACAATATTCAAGAAAATATTTTCTTTTGTTCCTAAAATTTAAAAATGTTAAATGCAAAAATATGCAAAATGCGCATATGTAAAATTTTACAAGTCATGCATATATGCAAAAGTACAAATGCATTTTAGTGTGTTTATTATGAATATTTTAGAATGCATGCTTTATTTTGTTTATTATTCATTCCACATATGATTTTTTTTCCTGCTATACACAATATGCTATAAGACATGTGCTAGTTGCATGGTGGGACAAACGGTATCCCACCTTCCACCGTAAAAATAAAGCGCAGAATTTTTTCAGGCCTTAAAGGCACTTAGTAAGTCCATCTGACTTATTCTAAGGCATTTTTTTAAAGATTAAAATATATTTTAAATATGCGTGTCGCAAAGGGTTAAAAGGAGAGTATATAAGGTATTTCTCCCACTTCTCTAGCGTGCCTTCGTGGTGTAATGGTCAGCACACTGAGCCGGTATTTCAGAGGTCCATGGTTCGATTCCCGGCGAAAGCGTTGTTAATTTTTCATCTTGCCTGCTTCCAAAAAAATCCTAATTTCTCTACAACAAGAACACAGCTTCAAAATCGTAAAAACAACCTTGTATTTAGCGTAAGTATAATAAAACACTCAATCGATTTCGAGGGCAGCTAAAGGTCCCTCCTCATCAAGAGAAAGAAATACCTAGAAAGAAGAAAATAACGGAGATGGAGTCTCAGAATCACGTGGTCCTTATCAGCACTGCACGTGGTTATAACTGGATTTTTAATTAGAGTTGCACTGGCCGCCTACTTTTACTGAGCCAGGCTATCTGATCAAGCATAAAGGACAAGAAAAATTAGCGAAGTTAAAATAGAGAGCGAGGGGCACATGCACCTTCACGCTCAAAATCTGAACTTCAAATGCAACCACTGAACGGATTTTTATACCCTCTGGTAGTACCAAACGCGAGGAGGTAACGCCATCTATCGGCAAAAATAACTGAATTAAGATAGTAGAATTTTAAAGGCATTAGGAAGGACTGGATTGGACTTCAAATCATTAACTAAACCTGCTAAATCTTTGTGAATGTGAAAAGCCTCAAGAAAATCCAATTCGCCTATGGAAGAAGCCTTTTGGATGATTTTTGCAGACCCAAAATCAAAATTATGGTTTAAAAGTCCAGCTATGATACGCTATTGAAGACTTGTTAATTTCGCCTTTTCTGACATAAGATTCATGTTCCTTGATACGAAACTTCAACGCTCTTTTTGTTTGGCCAATATATATATAATATACACGATATGCTATAAATTCCCCAAGAATTCGAGACAGAAACGCAATCTTTTAGAATCGAAGGGTGAATTTTATTAATAGGGGAGAAACCGACTTGAAAATTGAATTTATGGAGAATCCGTGCAATTTTATAGCTAACAGAAGGATAAAACGGAAGCACGACAAGGTCATTAATATTATTTCTAACAGTGGAATGTCTTCTTTGATGGGAATCTGAAAATAATCACGGAAGAAAATCTCATCTTCCGTGAATCATTATACCTACGCTAAATCATTATACTTACGCTAAATACAAGGTTGTTTTTACGATTTTGATTGTCACATTAGCATGTTTCTCTTCTAGTCAAGAACACAGCTTTTTAATATATGCTGTGTTGAATTGTGATTTTTTCATAAGTGCATCACCTGATTTTTTTTTCTGAGTTTTTCCGCAAATGCATTCAGTGGTTTTATTAATAAAAACATATTTTAATGCATTTTATTGAACGTGATTTTCTTCGAAAATGCATGTCCTGCTTGTTTACTGCATAATACGTTTTAGTAACTACTACTTTTTGCAGATTCATTATCTTGGTTTCATAAACAAAAGCACATTTTTTATAATGGCTCTCGAATTGCAATATTTTTCCTGAGTGAATTGCCTGATTTTTCCTTGAATGATAACTTTTAATACGTAATTTTTATATAAACGCATTAGCTGACTTCAGTAACAAGAACATGGTTTTTTTATAATATTCTTTTGAAAGACGTGAATTCTTTTAAAACGCATCAATTTTCCGCCTAATGAGGTGGAGGCTTTCGTGGAGAACTTTCTACAGGAAACTGGCTCATATTCGCATTACATATGGAGTAAGCCACGAAAAATGTCGTAAAATTAGCCCTTTCCCTAAGCTTTAAACACGGATC